TATTCTCTCTTTCTTAGTCTTCATTCTCTCATTTTCTTCTCCTCTATTCATACTCATTCCCAGGCGATCACATTCATTCCTGTAGCATTAAATGCCACCTGTATGAGGACAGATCCCTAATTAATATCCTGATCCTACAGTTCCCCTTTGACCTCCACACTCATATACCGAACCCTGATTCAGATTTCTATTTAGAGGTCTAATTGGCATCTCAAAACAGAGCCAAAATGGAAATCTTCATTATTGCTTTTTCCTCTATACCACCCTCTGCGTAATCTGTTTCTCCTCATTTCCCATCTCAGTAAATGGCACCACTGTTTACCCAGTTGCCCAGAATAAAAAACTGGGAATCTTCCTTGATTCCGCCTTTTCCCTTTATATTTCATAATTTAGTCCATCGTCAAATCTTTTAACACTACTTCAAAATATATCCTTAAATCTGACCACTACTCACCAGCTTTATCAATACCCAAGTACCATCACCTCAGCTGAATTACTGCAATAGCCTCCTGATTTCCGTTTCACACTCCTTCAATTTCTTCTCAATATTGCAGCTAGCATGATCAGTTTAAAACATGAATCAGATCACATCACTCCTCAGTTCATAAACTTTTACTGAATTCTCATCATACTCAGAATAAAATCCAAGGATCTGCAAGGCCTTGCTTTTATTGGCCTCAGTCCACCTCTCCAACCGCAACTCCTGTCCTTCTCCCATAAGCTCACTGTGCTTCGGTCATTCTGATCTTCCATATGATCTGAAACCTACCGTAATAATTCCTGCCTGTGTCTTTGCTTCAGATGCTATCTCTTCCTGGAATGTTCTTCCCGTAGATTTTCGAATTGGATATCCATGTCTCATAATAAAATTCTCAGCTTAAATTAATATCACCTCCTCTGAGAGGTCCTCTCTGACCATTCCATTTAATGTAACCATCCTTCCCTACCCTGCCATCACTCTCTAACCTTTTCCTCTATTTAATTTTTCTTTACTAAACTTATTAGTTCCTGACATTTTATTACATGTCTCTTTTATTTATATTCTCTGTCTCCCACTAATAAATTCTGTTATTATCACTGTATCTCTAGCACTTAAAGCAGTGACTGAGACATAGCTGATACGTAATATATATTCTTTGAAAGAATTACTGTAAAGAATGACAAGACATATGTTTATACCTATGTTTAGCAAAGAAGCATCATAAATCTTGTCTTGACAATATTGTCTTGTCTCTTATCCCTGTAGATTAAGACATAATTGTTTAATTGATGAGTTATTGTATAACTGAAAAAAATGTGTGAAAGTCTCAGAATTAAAACCAGAGTCTCCATAAATATGTATGATATTGTGGAGTTCACCATATCCTGTCTTGTCTATGTGTTGAGAATTTTGCTATTCACGTCAGAAGGGTTGATCATGTTCTTACTTTTGTCCTATGTAAGGTAGCAAGTGGCCCAACAAAGTAAGATGAACAAAAGACCTACGATCCATGAATGGAGTATGTGTGGAGTACAATAGTATTGTATAATGTGGTTAAAAATACCAGGCATGAAATACCAGAATTATCTCTCTGGCCTTCATACTTAGTAGTGGGACCCTGAACAAGTTACTAAAATTTTCTAAAACTTAATTTCCTCGCCCCAAATGGGGATTATAAGACAACTCATAGAATTAATATGAGATTAACTGAAATAATATGGGTAAAGCATTTGGCACCACACCAGGTGCATGGTAAGTGTTTAATATATCTTAGTGGACACTTGTAGTAATAGAATTAGTAAAATAATAGTGGTAGGAGTATCATTTTTGACATTGTTTTAGAACACTAATTTCGCCAATCATTTTCTATGGTCAGTTCTGCTGTATACATCTCATTATGTGGCATCCCATAAAATAATATGAAGATACCTTAAAATAAATTAAGCAGAATGAAACATTTAGTCTAGACGATGGAAGTTGATGTGAAAATTTTCTCTATACGACGTCAGTATGGCGCTGTTTTAACCTTTGAAGAGTTTCAACTGATGATGTTTAACTAGACTTTCTGCTATTGTGTTGAGAAACGCAGTGTCCCTGCTTTCTCCCATGTATACATGTTATTAAACTTGGTATTATTTTCTCCTGCTAACCTGTCTTGTTAATTATTTGGCCAGCCATAAGAACCTTAAGGAAAAGGGCAGAGGGAGATTCTCCCTCTTCCCCCTACAAAATCTAGCATCTGGATTTTGAGAATAAAATCTTATAAAAACCTTGAAGGGCCATGAATTGAGGAAGAGAAAATTGCTAAGAATACCTTAGATATATAGTGTTTTTTCTCCAAAGAAGTTAGTGGCTTGTAACACAAAAACTTGATTTTTATAGAGCCTGAACTATTTTCTAGCTGTAAATGAGGAACCTGTACATAATAGTCTGTATTTCAGAGAAACAAGATACTATGTAGTTCTCTGATGCATTTATTTCCTTAAAATGCAGTTTTTGTCTTGAATTTTATTTAATGTTAAAATGACCTTTTTTCACATGTTTTCTTACTTGTTCATTAAAGGATTTTGTCTTTTGAAATAAAGTCATACTTTGCTTAAATTTTAAACAAATATCAAAGAATCCACTATAAAATTTTCCTTTAGACTTGTTAATATCTTCTAGTTCAGTACCTACAAATTTCACTTCTATTACACAAGCTGCAAAATCTTATTTTTTCGCTTCTCTTTTTAAAAGTGTGTCAAAAAGCCAACCTAGGCTTTAGAAAACAATTACCATCACCATCTGAAAGCACCTATTGTTGGCTTATAATAACTTAGGTGTGTCCCAACAGCATTATGATTGGCTATACAAAGGCACAGAAGTAGTCTTAACTATTCTGAGGAAGTCTTTGGAGACCCAGAATGATGATACTGACAGACTACATCATTGTATTGTCTCCCTCTAGATTATCAGCTCTTGGCGGGCAGGGGCTCTATCTCTCTTGTACCTGTTATATTGTCAGTGCTAAAACACTATTAAATACTTAATAGACACTCAATATATATCTTCTGAATGAATGAATATTGACAGCATCAAAAGTGCTGGTATAAGAAGCAGGAAGTTAGGTAAGAGAGATAAATATGCTATAAATATTTTTAAAAGGCTCGGAATCTAGCTTTGAGAGAACAATAGGAGCAAGATTTGATAGCAGATTGTGTACCGTGGTGTCACCATGATCAGCAAATAATTGGACATTCCTTTCTTTACTGTGAGACTAGGTGTGGGAGTGCATCCCCTACCATTTTCAAGTTCTACAGATTCAGAGAAGAAAATTAAATTGATTAGGCCTTTGTAGACCTTGGAAAGTTTTAAAGAAACTGTAAAAGTCTAAGCCTAGTAAGATAAAAGTAGCCATTATTTTACAGATTTTTGTTTACCAATATTCTGAATACATGCACCAGTATCCTCTTCAAGTACCCCTTCTAATATAGGTTACAGAAATTCAATTTGAATTCTGTTTTTCTTATTTGAACTTTTAGCAGAACAAAATTTTTTTCTTTGTGATTAGAGTGAATAATCCATTAGAAGGTACTGAAAGTAAAGTAAAATTTCCTACTCTTTGAAAAATGATGAAATATAGATTTCTTACTATTTGAACAAGTATGTAAGTGATGCATCCAATTTTTACTCTGTCATGTTAAAGAAGCGTTAAAACTAAAGCATAAACTGTCAAATTATGTTTCCACCTGAAAAATATATTGCAAAACTAATATTTTTATGAATGCTGAGATGTTTTGGATGTGACCTGTCATTATTCTTAAAATGTACATGTTTAGTTTGTGTTTATTGTCTCTAAATATACTTCCAAACAATTACTTTTGCATTTCGGCACATATTTGTTTTGAGGACAGTCACTATGTACATTTTAAATTTAAGAAGAGAGAGACGTACTGAAATAAATAAGATTGTAATTTAAAAGGTGCCCTGATATTTGTTGTCAATCTGAAGGTGAGATTTGTAGCTTTCAATACGTGGATTTTTGCTTTTTAAATAGATATTTATAACCGTAAATCTATTGAATACATATTCTTTCCCTCGAATCCTCAAAATAATCACTGTCTACAATTCCCTCCTGCCGCTCTGTAGCATTTGGAATTTTAAATACTTTTCAACTTCTACAAAATATCAACTTTGTGTATTATAGCAACAAACAAGAGTGCCCACCTTATAAACTTGACTGTAGGAGTCATGACACTTTCAGAGCTTATATAATGAATCACAAATCATATATACTGAAACACATTTTAAAAGTTAAGAGCATTTATAAAGTAGCATTCAATTATTGCAATTTAATGTACAATATAAAATGCTGAGGGGTTAGGAATAACAGAACAACCAGAATTTGTGAACCTCATCACAGAAGGGTCTAGTAAGAGTATTTTTGAGGTTTTCTTAAATTGTGGTAATATATATAACAAGAAATTTTCCATTTTAACTACTTTTAGATGTACAGTTCCGTAGCATTAAGAACATTCACTTTGTTGTACAACTATTGCCACCAACTATCTCAAGAACGTCTTCCTCTTCCCAAACTGAAATTCTATACCAATTAAACAATAACTCCTCATTCCTGCCTTTGGTCAGACCCTGGCAGCCACCAGTCTACTTTCTATCTCTAAGAATTTGACAAATCAACGTACGTCATATAAGTGGAATCATAAAATATTTGTCCTTTTTGTGACTGGTTTACTTCACTTAGCATAATGTCTCCAAGTTTCATCCATATTGTATCATAGGTCAAAATTTCTCTTTTTTTAAGGCTCAATGATATTCCATTGTATGTATCACATTTTATCAGTTCATGCATCAGTGGACACTTGAATTGCTTCCACCTTTTGACTAACTGAATAATGCTGCTGTAAACAAGAGTATATACATATCTGTTCAAGTTCTTGCTTTCAATTCTTTTATATACCTAGGATATATACCTAGGAATGGAATTGCTGGATCATATGATAATTATATGTTTAATTTTTGGAGAAACCACCATATTATTTTCTACAGTGGCTGCACTATTTTACATTCCTTCCAGCAATGCAAAAGGGTTCCAGTTTATCCACGTCTTCACCAGTACTTGCTTTTTATATATTTTTATGATAATAGCCATCATAATGAGTATTAAGTAGTATCAAACTGTAGTTTTGATTTGCATTTCCCCAATGGTTAGTAATAATGAGCACCTTTTCATGTGCTTTTTGGCCATTTGTATATCTTCATTATAGAAATATCTATTCATGTCTTTGTACAGTTTTTAATTGGGTTGTTCGTTTCTCCTTGTTGGGTTGTAGCATTTCTGTATATATTCTGAATATTAATCCCATATCAGATACATGATTTGCAAATATTTTCACCCATCGTATAGATTGACTTTTCACTCTCAATAGTGTCCTTGGATGTATAAACATTTTAAATTTTGATGAAGTACAATTTATCTATTTTTTCTTTTGTTGCCTCTGTTTTTTTTGTCATATCCGAGATCGCATTAGCAAATACAATGTGAAGCTTTCCTCCTACATAATTTTTCTAAGAGTTTTAGAGTTTTAGCTCTTATATTTTGGTCTTTGATCTAGTTTGTGTTAATTTTTGTGTATGATGTAAGAAAAAGGTCCCACTTAATTATTTTGCATGTAGATATCCAGTTTTCTCAGCACCATTTGTTGAAAAGAATGTCCTTTCTTCATTGAGTGGTTTTGGCACCCTTGTCAGAAATTATTTGACCATATATGCAAGGGTTTATTTCTCAGATTTCTGTTCTTTTCCATTGATCTATATATTTCTCTTTATGCCAGTGCCACAGTGTTTTGATTACTATAGGTTTCTAGTAAGTTTTGAAATCAGGAAGTGTGAGACCTCTAATTTTATTCGTTTTCAGGATTTTTCAGGATCTCTTGAGATTCTGTATAAAGTTTATGATGAATTTTAATATTCATACCACATGTCATTGGGATTTTGATAGGAATTGCATTGCATCTGTAGATTGTTTTAGGTGGTATTGATATCTTTACAATATTAAGTCTTCTAGTCGATGAGCATGGCATGTCTTTCCATTTATGTGTCTTTAATTTCTTTGAGCAATGTTTCATACTTATCAGTGTATAAGTCTTCTGACTCTTTGGTTAAGTCAATTCCTAAGTATTTTATTGTTTTTGATGCTATTGTAAGTGGAATTGTTTTCTTAATTTTCTTTTCTGATTGTTGATTGTTAGTGTATAGACACAAAACTGATTTGTTTGTATTCATTTTGTATACTGCAACTTTGCTGAATTTGCTTACTTGTTCTAACAGTATTTTTTTTAGGTATGGACTCTTTAGGGTTTTCTATATATAATATGTAATCTGCAAACAAAGATAATTTTGTTCCCTCCTTTTCATATTGGATGCTTTACTTTCTTTTTCTAGTATAACTGCTCTGGCTAGCACTACTAGTACTATGTTAAATAGGAATGGCGAAAGGAGGCATCCTTGTCTTGTTGCTGATATCAGAGGAAATAATTTCAGTCTGTCACCATTGAGTATGCTGTTAGTTTCAGGCTTTTCATATATATAGCTTTCTTATGATGAGGTAGTTTTTTTTCTATTTCTAGTTTGCTGATTGTTTTTATCATGTTTCTGCTTTTTTCAGTTTCCTTCTGCTGTTGTTTTCTAGTTTATTTTATTGTGATTGGAAAAGACACTTTGCATGATTTCACCCTTTTTAAATGTATTGAGACTTGTTTTGTGGCTTAACATATGGTCTCTCCTAGAAAATGTTTCATGTCCCCTTGAGAAAATGTGTATTTAGTCTTGTTCAGGGGAGTGTGCTGTATATGTCTCTTAGGTCTAATTCGTTTATAGTATTAGTTCAAGTCCTCTATTTCCTTTTTGTTTTTCTATCTGGTTTTTATATACATTACTGAAAATGTGGTATTGAAGCCTTCCGCTATTATTGTGAAGTTGTCTGTTTCTCCCTTCAATTCTGCCAGTGTTTGCTTCATATATTTCGAGCTCTGATGGTTGGTTTATATACGTTTATACTGTAATATCTTCTTGGTGAATTTACACTTTTATCATATATAACATCCTTTTATGTCTCCTGTAACATTATTTGATTTAAATCTCTTTTGTATGATATTAGTATATCCATCTCTGCTCTCTTTTGGTTACTTATTGCATGGAATATCTTTTTCCATCCATCCACTTTCCATGCATGCATATCTTTACATCCAAAGTGAGTCTCTTGTAGATAACATATAGTTAGATCCTGTTTTTTTTTTTTTTTTTTTAAAGATTTTATTTATTTTATTTTTTCCCCCCAAAGCCCCAGTGGATAGTTGTGTGTCGTAGCTGCACATCCTTCTAGTTGCTGTATGTGGGACTCGGCCTCAGGATGAACGGAGAAGTGGTGCCTCGATGCGCACCCGGGATCCGAACCCGGGCCGCCAGCATCGCAGCGCGCGCACTTAACCACCAAGCCACAGGGCTGGCCCGATCCTGTTTTTTTTAATCCATTCTACCAATCTATGTCTTTTGATTGGAGATTTTGATCCATTTGCATTGAACATTATTACTGATAGGGATGAGGTTTTTCTCTCTCTTCTCCTTTTGTAACTTCCATGATGTGTGTATTGGTCTACTTTATAGTGTTTTATAATTCCTTTAGAATATAATCACTTTTCCTCATTCTTTTTTCTTTTTGCTCCTGAGACTGGATAATTTTAAATGACCTGTCTGAAAGTTCACTGATTGTTTCTTCTGCCCCTTCAAATCTCTTTTTGAACCCCTCCAATGAAGCTTTCAGTTTACTTATTACGTTTCTCAGCTTTTGAATTTGCTTGTTTCCTCTTATAACTTCTATCTCCTTGTTGATATTCACATTTTGTTCATGTATAGTTTTCCTGATTTTCTTTAGTTCTTTGTCTACATTTTCGTTTATTTCTGTGCATATTTAAGACAATTGTTTTAAAGTATTTGTCTAGTAAGCCTGATTTCTGTGTTTCTTCAGGGATTGTTTCAGAGATTTATTTTGATCCTTTTAATGAGCAATATTTACCAATTTCTTTGTGTGCCTTGTGATCCTTTGTTGAAAATTTGTTTTTTGTAAAAACAACCACTTCTCTCTGCTTTACAGGTGGATGGGGAAAACATTCACTATTTAGTAAGACATGGTTTTCATCTTGGGCTCAACCCAGGGTGAAGGCTTATGACCTTCTCGGGTCTTTTCTTGACATGTGTTATGCGTGGCCCTATATGTGTGCTTTTTTCCAATTTTCGTGTATACACAACTACTTATAAAAGTCTTAATTCCTATGGAATTTCATGGTGGCTTCCACTTGGAGCTTTAGATTTTGCATTATATTTCTTTTTCTTTTTCTTTTTTTTTTTGTGTGAGGAAGATCCGCCCTGAGCTAACATCTGTGGCAATCTTCCTCTATTTTGTATGTGGGTCACCACCACAGCATGGCTTGACAAGTGGTGCATTGGTTTGTGCCCGGGATCGGGACCTGCAAACTCTCTGGCCGCCGAAGTGGAGTGCGCCCACTTAACAACTGCGCCACTGGGCCTGCCCCAAGATCTTTTTTATTGTAGGCATTTACAGCTATAAATTTCCCTCAGTGTATTGCTTTTGCTACATCTCATAAGTTTTGGTTAGTTGTATTTGTGTAGAAATTTTTCTCAAAGTACGTCCTAATTTCCCTTATGGTTTCTGCTTTGACCTATTGGTTGTTTTAGAGTATGTTCTTTAATTTTTATGTATCTTCCCAGATTTTCTTCTGTTATTAATTTCTAATTTTATTCTGTTGTAGTTGGAGTACATACTTTGTATGATATATACTTTTTTAATTTTATTGAGACCTGTTTTGGGCCCACTATATGGTCTATCCTATAGTGTACACTTCAGAAGAATGTATATCCCGCTATTGTTGGGTGGAATGTTTTCTGTTTCTATAGTTTTCTGTTAGATCTACTTGCTTTACAGTTTTGCTAATGTCTTCTCTTTCCTTGCTGATCTTCCGTCTCATTGTCCTGTCAGTTATTGAAAGTGGAGTATCAAATTCTCCAACTATTATTCTTGAACTGTCTAATTTTCCTCTCAGTTATTTCAGTTTTTCTTCATGTACTTTGGGCTTCATTTGTTGCATGTTTATTTTTATAATTTTGTCTTCTTGATGGATTGACTCTTTTATTGTTATAACATGTCCTTTGCCTCTCATGACAATTTTTTTCTTAAAGTCTGTTTTTTCTGATATTACTATGACTAGTCTAGCTCTCTTTTCGTCATTATTTGCATGTAACATTTTTCTATCCTTTTACTTTTGAACTATTTGTGTCTCTGCATCTACAGCATGTCTCTTATAGACAGCATGTAGTTGGTTTAAGTTTGTTTTTTCGTCAATTCTGCCATTCTCTGCCGTATAATTAGAGAGCTTTATCCCTTCACATTTAATGAAATTATTAATAAGTTAGGATTTATACCTGCCATTTTGCTATCTGTTTTCTTTACGTGCATTTTTTTTCTTTTTTTTTTGTGAGCAAGATCAGCCCTGAGGCAACATTCATGCTAATCCTCCTCTTTTTGGTGAGGAAGACCTGCTCTGAAGTAACATCCATTGCCAATCCTCCTCCTTTTTTTTTTCCCCCAAAGCCACAGTAGATAGTTGTATGTCATAGTTGCACGTACTTCTAGTTGCTGTATGTGGGACACGGCCTCAGCATGGTCAGAGAAGTGGTGCATCAGTGCGCGCCAGGGATCTGAACCTGGGCCGCCAGCAGTGGAGCGCGCACACTTAACCACTAAGCCTCGGGGCCGGCCCTGGAGTTTGTTGAGCTTCTTGGATGTGTAGATTAATGTTTTTCATCAAATCTGGGAATATTTTGGATATTATTTCTTCAAATATTCTTTATGCTCCTTTCTTTCCCTTCTCTCCTAGAACTTCCCTGATGCATATGTTCATATGTTTCATATTGTTCGAAAGGTTTCTGAGCTTCCATTTATTTGTGTTCATTCTTTTTTTTTCTGTTCCTCAGACTGCATAATCACAATTCAGCTATCTTCAAGTTTAATGATTCTTTCTTCGGTCTGACAAATCTGCCCTTGAGCCTCTCTAGTGAATTTTTCATTTTAGTTATTGTACTTTTCAACTCCAGAATTTCTACTTGTTTCCTCTTCAAACTGTTCTTTCAATGTTCTTCTCTATTTCTTTTCTCTATTTCTTGGTTCATAGTTCTTGATTGCTTTAGTTCTTTGTTTACTTTAGCTCTTTGAACATGTTTAAAATAGTTGATTTAAAGACTTTTTCTAGTAAGTTCTGTTTGGTTTTCTCAGGGACAGTTAATTACATTGATTATTTCTTTTCTTTCTTTCTTTTTTTTTTTTTTCCTGGTATTGGCCATACTTTCTTGTTTCTTTTCATGTCCTGTAATTTTCTGTTGAAATTGGACATTTTAAAAAATATAATATGGCAGGTCTGGAAATCAGATTCCTCCCACCTAATGGTTTTCTTGTCATTCTTGCTGTTTATTTTTTCATAGTCTTTTCTGAACTAATCCTTTACAGTCTGTATTCTTTGTCCTGTATGGCCGTCGACGTCTACTCAGTTAGCTTAGTGGTCATCTAATACTTCCATAGAGACTTCCTTAAACATGGGTGATTAATAAGTTTCACAGTCTTTGCTGAGGGGTTCTGTGTGCATGTTGTGGCATGCCTTCAGCACTCAGCCAGGTACTTTACCACTCTGCCTTTGCCTTAACTTTCCTGCTTGTGTGGGCACTCTAGGCCAGCCAGATGTGAAAGCTTAGTGCTTTCTTAGGTCTTTCATGAGCTTATGAACAGCACTGTGCATGTGTGGCCTTCTCTATGCCCAGGAATGTGTCAGAGCTTTTCAAAGCACTTATTCTCCAACACATCTCATTCCTCAGCCTTTCCTCCCAAGCTTTTGGCTAGTTTATCATTTACCCCAATTTATGTGAAGTACCCCAGACAGGAGCAATTATTACATTTACTTGTAAATGTTTTTGATAAATGCCCCTCTTCTCCCCCAAGTAGGTGCCTCTGCTCTGGGAGAGTTCTGAGTTATGCAAAATAAAGATAAGTCCTTTGAGAAGTTCCCTCAGGAAGCTACCAGACAGATAAAATAAGGAGAGTTTTTTGCAAATGAGGCTGTTCTTCTCTACCTGAGGGCATGTACTGGGAATGTGGACTCTTATTTTCAAGGCTATCACTGAGCTAGCTACTGAGGAATGCTACTATACTAAGTTAAAATGCCACAAATCTTGCTATTTTACCAAGATTTAGCTGATTATCTGGAATAAGCACTCCCCAAGTTGATATAAGCCTTTGGTTTGCATCCATGATCAACTTTTTTAGAAAAGTTGATTCTGACAGGATTTTCATTGCTTCTATGCAAGGGTAGACTCTTGGAATTCCCTACACCACCATTTCCTCTGATGTCACTCCATGAATTGATCTTTGACAAAGGTGCCAACTCTGTTTAATGTGGACAGGATACTTTTTTCAACAAGTGGTGTTGGAAGAAGTATATATTCAAGTGAAAAGAAAGAACTTTCATCCATACCTCTCATTATACAATAAAAAATAATTAGATATATATCATTCACCTTAAGTTAAAAGCTAAATCTATAGTGGCTCTGGATTAAAGGAGAATATATTCATGATCTGTTGTACACAAAGACTTTTTAGACAGGACACAGATAGCAATAAACATAAAAGAAAATTTATAAATTTGATTATGTGAAAATTTGGAAAAAGAAATCTGCTCATCAGAAAAGTACCATTAAGAAAATGAATAGGACACCAAAAGGAAAAGCAAGAAAAACAAAAATAAGCAAGTGGGACTACATCGAACTAAAAAGCTTCTCTGCACAGCAAAGGAAACCAGCAACAAAATGAAAATGCAACCTAATCCTACTGAATGGAAGAAAATATTTGCAAATCATATCTCTGATAATGGGTTAATATCCAAAATGTATAAATAACTCATATAACTCAGTATCAAAAAACCAATCTGATTAAAAAATGGGCAGAACATATGAATAGACGTTTTTCCAAAGAAGACATACAGGTGGCCAACAGGTACATAAAAAGATGCTCAACATCGTTAATCATTAGGTAGATACAAATCAAAACCACAATGAGATAACACCTTTCATTTGTCAGAATAGCTATTATCAAAAAAAAGAAAAAATAAAAGAAATAAGAGCCATTGGCAAGGATGTGGAGAAAAGGGAACCTTTGTTTGCTGCTGGTGGGAATGTAAATTGGTGTAGCCACTATGGAAAACAGTATGAAGGTTCCTCAGAAACTTAAAAATATAACTACTACATTATCCAGCAACTCTATTTCTGGGTATTTATGTGAAGAAAAAGAAAACATTAACTTGAGAAGAAATATGCAGCCCCATGCTCATTGCAGCATTCTTTATAATAGCCAAGATATGGAAACAACCTAAGCATCCATTAATGGATGAATGCATAAAGAAGATGTGATATATGTATGTGTATATATATATATATATATACACACACAATAGAATGTTATTCAGCTGTAAAGAAGAAATCTTGCCATTTGCGACAACATGGATGGACCTTGAGAATATTATACCAAGTGAAATAATTCAGACAGAGAAAGACAAATATCATATAATCTCAATTATATGTGTAATCTAAAAAAAACAAAAAAAACAGCTTAAAGAGTACAGATTGGTGGCTGCCGGAGGTAGGGGGTGGGTGGATGGGTGAAATGGGTGAAAGAGGTCAGAGGTACAAATTCCCAGTTATATGATAAATAAGTCATGAGGATATAATGTACAACATGGTGACTATAGTTAATAATACTGTATAATACTGTATTCCATGTATCCAAGTTGCTAAGAGAGTAGATCTTAAATTTTTCATCTCAAAAAAAAATTTATTTTATTTTATTTTATTTATTTATTTTTTCCCCCCAAAGCCCCAGTAGATAGTTGTATGTCATAGCTGCACACCCTTCTAGTTGCTGTATGTGGGACGCGGCCTCAGCATGGCTGGAGAAGCGGTGCGTCGGTGCGCGCCCGGGATCCGAACCCAGGCCGCCAGCAGCGGAGCGCACACACTTAACCGCTAAGCCACGGGGCCGGCCCAAAAAAAAAAATTTTTGTAACTATGTAAGGTGACGAATGTTGACTCAACTTATTGTGGTGATCATTTCACAATGAATACAAATATTGAATCATTATGTTGTGCACCTGATACTAATGTAATATGTCAATTATACTTTAATAAAAAAAAAAAGTTAAAAATGACTAGGCAAGCCACAGAACGAAAAAGAAATTGAAATACATATATCTGACAGAAAATTTATTCCAAAATATATTCTTACAAGTCAATAATAACCAAAAGAAGCATCCCCAAAAAGATGGTTAAAAAACTGAATAGACGCTGTGAAAAGGAGATATAGAATGGTCATTAAGACATGAAAATGTGCACACTATTTATTTATTTTTTGGTGATAACGATTGGCCCTGAGTTAGCATCTATTGCTAATTTTCCTCTTTTGCTTATGGAAGATTGTCCCTGAGCTCACACCTCTGCCATTCTTACTCTATTTTGTGTGTGGGTTGCTGCCACAGCATGGCTTGTTGAGCAGTGTCTAGGTCCACGCCTGGAATCCAAACCCCTGAACCCTAGGCCACCGAAGTGGAACACGAGAACTTAACCACTATGCCCTGGGCTGGCCCCACACACTATTATTATTTAGCAGCTAGATGCAAATTAAAATCACTATATGACGTAATTTCACATCAACTAAAATGTCTACAATTAAAAAGACCAACAAATATCGAATATTTATGAAGATGTGAATTAAATGAGACTACAATATATTGCTGGTGGAGTGGAAAATTGTACAGTCACTTTGGAAAATGTTTTGGCAAATTACTTGTAAAGTTAAACACATGCCTATCTTATGACCCACTCCTACTCATAGTTATTTCCTCAGGGCAAAAGATAAACAGATTATCGATTTTCATATAGTGGATAAGTACTCTGCAAACAAAAAGAAAAAAGTGAACTACTTATAGATGCCAAAGCATGGATGAATGGAAAAACATTGTGCTGATTGAAAGAAGCCAGATACAAAATTGTACACGCTGTACGATTTCAACCTTAAGAAGTTCGGGAACAGGCAAAACCTATCCCTGGTATTAGAAATAAAAATAGTGTTTGCCTATGGGTGTTGGGATTGATTAAAAGCAGGCATGAAGAAGCTTTCCAGGTGATGGAAATGTTCTGTATTTTGACTAGAGTCATGTTTACATTGTTAAAAAAAGGAATCAACTTCTCTTCTTAAACATATGGATTTCAGTGTATTCAAATTGTATCTAATAGAAAAAGTGTAAAACGTTTGTCTGGGATTGAGAACATTTAAGCTCTCTATCTCAATAGGCTCTTTTCTTCTTGTCTTACATTTACTCCTATATCCCTTATTTTGCAAACTCTTTCCATTACTCTGTAGGAAAAGCATTGGACTAGTGTCAGATAATATGTGTTTCATCCTAGGTTTATCACGTACTAGCTCAGTGATCTTGGGAAAATTTCAAAGTGTCATATATCCCTAGAATATTAACCCTGAGGAAAAGTGTAAGGTGCATAAGAAGGGTTGAACTGAATTAGAAACTTCGTCTTGAATGCCTAGTGGGCCTCCTGTATAAAGGGTCCCTTTGATGTGCAATTGAAATTTCTTTAATCCCTTAATAGTGCAAATTAAAACTTTCTACTCCTTTTGAATGTCATCTGGTCATACAGCAAATTGCCCAGAGTCTTATGAAGTTTTTCTTTCTCTTGGGTCACACCCAAGGCTAATTGACTGTGATGTTTGGGTTGGGGCATCCTTTAGAGATCCAATCTAACATGTGTACACCTTTTCCTCTTAATAAAAACACTCAATCTGTAAGAAAAGATTGGGTGATGATATTAGAGGAAGAAAAACATTGACATTTTAAGGTTTTAATCTTTCATGAGGTAAAATGATATTGCTCTATAGAAACACCTGTGCCTTTTTTAAAGTGGTATAGTTAGCAAAAGCCCTGAATAGACATCGGCAGTAGACAGAATCTTCTTGGGAAATTGCAGTCAGGTAACAAGTTCATCTTGACTATACTCATTCATTTTTTAAAAAGAAGGAAACTTTTTCCCCTTCAATGTTCCTTTCATATGTTCTTTGGAGAATCTATTTTATTCTATCACATTGAAGAAAACCTCTGGCTGTTGATAAATTTTTGAGCATCTTCTAGCTATAAGAAGGCCCTTGTGACCTGATGCAGTGTAATATTCAGACAGACTGGTAGTTTTCCACATGGGAAGACATTTCTTTCTTTGTTGTCTGTTCCCTTGTTAAATCAAATACAATAACTGTTTGAGCTCTTTATGCCATTCCATTGCAACTAGGCCCACCTGTTCAGCGGTTACATAATGTCTAGAAATCTTAACACTTTGGCTATATATGTTATGATTGTCCATCCTGTTTTTGTTGGAGTTATAAAATTATGTTATAAAGGACTTGAAGATCCTCATATGAGAGAACAACAAATGATATGAAATCTGCAAAAACACTTTTTATCTCAAGATACTGAGGTAAGAAGTTCTAAGTAGAATGAAAAACACACTTTAACTCAATCTCAGAGCTAAAGCTTTTCCTCTTTGAAATAATTCAAATACTGTCAGATTCCTTTCTCTTTAGGATCTTTTAAACCCTTCCACGTTTTTTGTTTCAGAAGTTTAACACATTTTAAGATCACAGTTTTTTGTTTATATCCACATTTCTCTTCATCTCATTTCTAATTTCCCTTTACTGCCATTTAAACTGTCACCTGCACCTCGAATGGAGCCTTGTTTGTTCATCAGAAGCTCTTTGATTTTCAAGTCTAATATTCTCATGAGTATTCTCAAAGCCATTACCAATATTTAGAACGGTTTGCTATTAAAGTGGCATTGAAACCTCAACTTCATTTTGATAAAAAGGGAAGGACACAGTGTATTCTAAAAATACTTTCTTAGTCATGTTCTTTATAATAATTTTGCTTTCATCAACTTTCAGTTTTGTCACTCTTTTTGCTGAGAATCCTTTTCAATTAAAGTAAAATCTAAAAGTTAAAAAATATACACTTCCTGATTAAGTAGTCTTCTCCTCACACGTTCCTTAGCACTAAGGTGCGTAAATATTTTCCACTTATTTACTTAGTACACTTAACACACAGACGCTCAAAGATACACAACAAAAACTAATAATGGTAATAATAATAATTATAATAGCAGCTAACATTCATTGAGAGCTCACTGTGTGTCTGGTAACTCATGAGGTTAAAATTATTAAGTAGATATCATTAATGTCACACAGGTAGTAGTGGTGAGATTCAAAACCAGGCTTATCTGACTTCAGCACATGTGTTCTTAGGTACATATGAGAGACAGGTCCTGTTTTATTCACTGTTGTTATCTCCTAATGCCCAGCATACTGCGTGATAAATTGTAGGTATTCAGTATTGATGGATGAATAACTGCCCTCCAAAAACTTTTATACTATTGGGAGAGAGTTGTCACATGTAATACATAACACATGAAAAGTTGTATAAGGAATCCCGAGTTAAATATCACACTTGATTTAGAAATTATATTTTAAGATATTCTTAAATTTCGAGTTTTTGGGAAGAGCTGTGCTGGTATTTTTTTTGGTGGGATGGAGAAGCAGTTGGGAAAGGAAATTTTCCTTGTGTCTAAAAGGATTATAGTCCTCATTAGAAGTTGATTAGCCAAATTAGACAGGAAAGAAACATGGAAATCTCATGGAAATGTCTACATCAATATTTTTAGACTTGGTTTTACTAGAGTTATGCTGTTTACTCTCCCCAAAGCCTTAGAAGTCTTCCTAAAGCTCTCTTTTCTGGTTCATATACCAAGCATTGAGATGTGATGTTTCTGAAACATTTTCCCTGTCTGTATAATAGATAATGCCTT